TTTTCACAAATGTGCCAGTCGTTGAAACTATCGACTTCATATGTAAAGAAGCTGAAGACATACCCATTCCAACATCGGAATTGAGGAAATTACTACTTTTATGTACTAAAAATGTCCAATTCCAATTCAACGGGCGTCTGTTCCGTCAAGTTGATGGTGTCGCAATGGGAAGCCCTTTGGGACCACTTTTCGCAGACTTATTCTTGTCACGCCTAGAAACCGGTACTTTGCAGCAATATATACAAGAAACAAATGCATACCTAAGATATGTTGATGACATTTTTATTGTCTGTGAAAGCAGATCAAAAGCGGAAGACATGTTAAAAAAATTCAACTCATGCCATCCAAATCTCAATTTCACAGTAGAACACGAGGAAAACGATACTATTAAATTTCTAGACGTTCTTCTGACCAAAATGAATGATGGCACAATCGAAAGATCTATATTTAGAAAGTCCTCATGGACAGGACAGTACATGCATTTCAAGAGCTTTGTTCCAATCGAATACAAAAAGAACTTAGTCAGAACACTGTTCAATAGAGCACGGAAAATTTGTTCTGACAGTACTTTTGAACATGAAATAAAATCTTTGAAGGATATTTTATGTAAGAATGGATATCCTGAGAAGTTCATTAATAAATACTCTAAAGAAACTACTCTTTGCAAAACAATTCAGACAGTTCCAAAGAACACAATTTTCAGCGAAGAGACTCTTTTCAACGAATTTATTATCAAGCTGTACAATCGTATATATATGGTTTTATAAAGAAATTATATCCGGTGAGGGAATTAGGTCAAAGTTGTAAATACATGAAATAATAATAGTATGAAATAAATTTAAAATATTTGTGATAAGGTTCATAGTTTAAGTCAAGTGGAACAATAATTAATGTCATATATAAGATAATACATCGGGTGTATAGATTTTGGGGAGAGGCATATAATTGTAAGATTAATAGACGAATGTAAAATGTTACGTAATATGGTGTGAAATTTGATAACATAGAATTTAATATTGTAAAAATAAAGATAAAAAGTATACACATGAATAATTTTTGGTTTAAAATGTCGAGTAGATCAAGTGGAAAAGATTCAGAATGACAGTCGTAATAATAATAATAATGATAATAATAATAATAATCGAAGTAATAAGGGAAAAGTACATAAAATAATAAAAAAATAATAATAAAAAAAAAATAAATAAATAAATGTCTATCCCTCTACGGCCAAGGCAGCAGTAGGGATTGTACATACTTCTTTTGTACACAAAGGTCTGGCTTAAAGTCATGAATTGCCAAGGCCTCAGCTGTCTTTAGAAGTCTGTAACGAAGAAAGCGCGGGAAGTTGGCATGAATCCTGTATAAGACCTTGAAATCATGGTCAGGGTTGACCGAGTGACAAGAGTCGATGAGGTGTTCTAAGATAGAACTTCGCACACATTTCCTTTCTCCTTTGTAAAACCAAGCTGGAATATGTTCTCGTATCCGTGTGGAGAGCATTCTCTGACTACGGCCAATGTACCTTGCTCCACAAGAGCAGGTGAACTGGTAGATGCACATGGAGGCGGTCAGACGGGGGAGCTTATCTTTTACGGAGGTAGAGAACAGTTTGCGGCTCGTGAACGTCATATGTAGTCTAGCTGCAGGGAACGTTTTACTAACTGATTTAGAAAGACGATTTTTGAGCATGAGTTCCAAAGAAACCAGTCTATATCAATTTGCCATTCAAAGGAGATGACGTACAGGAAATAGTGAAACGAAGACTTGACAAAGCCATCAAGAGAACTTATTATGCTGCAAAACTTGTTTTCCTTAACACCACCAAGCGAGTGCTTCAACAATCTGGGAAAGACCAGTCGCCAATCCTCGACACTTCAAACTGCATATATCAATTTGAGTGTGTTTGTGGCAGCAAATACATAGGTCGTACGGAAAGGCGATTGTCTACTCGCATGATGGAGCATTTGCCAAAATGGTTGAAAACAGCTGAGTGCAAAGTCCCAAAATCCTCAATAACAAAACATCTCGTGGATTACGGACATGATATCGACGCCGTCAAGTTATTCACCATCGTCAGCAAACAAAGAAACAAGAAGATGCTTGCAATTGCAGAGGCTTGTGCAATTCGAATTTACAAACCAGCCCTCTGTATACAAAAGGAGATGGTCGTCACTCTGAATCTACCATGGTAATACGCTTTACTTATTATTCTCTACTTGTTATTACTATTATTCTACCCCTTCTTATTATTATTTTTGTTATTATTACTACCATATTATTATTATTATTATTCTTGATTCATTTAAATCTATGCTTTATCCGTAAGATTATCTTAACTCACTTCAACACTATTATTATTATTGTTATTAAAACTATTACTATTGATATTAGTCTGTTTGCAATTCTCGTTATATTCCCTAATGACTGATTGTTTATCTAAGTGATGTAATTGAAGCGTAATGCAATTTATCTTAATTTTGATCTCTCATACTCTCTCTCTCCCCTTATCTATTTGAACATGACCTGGAAAATATTCGCACCTGTCTCTCTGCATGATTAATTCAATGTAGTTTGTTTACTTATCAGTCTTATATCTCCCTATGTAATTTCAAAAGTATATATATTCGTGTATGTAGAGTATTCAGCTGACGAGTTCTACCGAAATTTGATGAATTCATTAAATCCTGCTTTATTAACCTTTATTGCTTGTTTTAAATTCGTATCGGGAAATAAATGTTTTCAATACCTGAACAATTGTTTGTTTAATCATACCGTTTTTCATTACTCGTGTTATCACATATTGCCTCATTTTTTCATCCTTATTATTGATAAGACCATTTTGATTTTATTACTATTAGTAATATTATCATTACCAGTATTATGACTAACTGCACAATTTATATTCACCGTCGTATTATCCTATAGACAAAACACCATGATTGGTTTATATTTGAATTTTTATTTGTAAACTAATGTATATTAGAGTTAAGCCTGATGAGATTTAATTGAAAGCACAATATTGTTCGCTTAAATGAGTTGTTCTAGATTCTATTTACTTCTGAAGCCATTTAGGGAGGTGCTCTCAGGCGCTTATTCCTTTGGTACCAGAAATCTTTTCCGTTATATTTAGTTATACTTTAACCTACGCAAACTTACCCACCATTAAAATTGTATAGTAACATTTCTTCGTTTGACATTTCTCCCTGTAATATTTTGTACAAAATTCCAAATGCCATTTCTTTATGTTGAAATCTCCTTTGAAGTTGACCAAATTCTCACAAAAGTTAAATCTAGTCAGAGAAGTTACCACTGAGCTATTTGGGTTAGTGATTGATCTCCTGCAGAACTGTATTACATACTTTCGCTTGAAAACTAGATAGTAAGTAATGAGTGTCATGCGTCTAGTCCTTTGTTTGGTGCAGACTGAATTCTATCAGTCAGTCCATCGAATAGTAGCAATTCAGACTGCACCGTGATGACGAGCTACCTAACATGGTGGCCACATTGTAAACTTGAATGATAGAATTCAATCTGGACCAAAGAAAGGAGTAAACACATGGTACTAGCTAACGTCCAGTCGAAAGTCTAGATGAGTTAGTGGTTCATAGAGCCAATAAACTGGCGAATAGACACTCAAAAATGAGGCTTGGTGATTATACCTAGCGAGTCAATAGAATTTGTGAGGCACAGGTTACTGGATTCGACACAATACAATAGACGCTAAGTTGTTGAGAGGGTTACTAGTGGACAAAGTCGCTTGCTTAAATCAAATTCACAATTTTCAGCTTGGTTGGAAATTCGCAGTCTACGTAGGTCGACGGGTGAAATTTTCCTTTGGATACCGAATTATTCAGATCACAGTATGTGATTCGCAACCGCCAGCCTGCCTAGGAATAGGCCTACTGAAAATCTCCGTCACTTTATTGCATATAGTTTCTCTCTTTCGCTTTGTTTTTATCGATTAAAATATGACTTCTAATACTGTTATTTACTCTCGTGAGTATTTAAAATGTCTACAACCTTCTGGTTCTTAAGTGTCTACTAAACTTGAGAAAAAGAGTAATCGTGGGGGGGGGGGAAGGCAGTTTATCCCAATACGTGATACAGCTGCTCCTTAATTATGTCACTGGGTCTCCAAATGTACTCCTGAACTTCGTCATAGTTGGCTTTCAACCGAATATATTGCGTTTCGCCAAGGCGACAAAGCAGAAATGTCATAATGGTTTGGTTTGCGCTTCCGGTCAGAGAGTATTGTGTCACAGGACTTATTGTCAGTTACTATTTTACCTGAAGATCCTGTACGAAGAGAAAATATCATACAATAAACTCCTCTGGGAATTCTATATACTATCTAAACACTGTCCAGAATGAAGTTATTATTTATTGTAAATAGTAATGAAGTAAGCAAACATATTTATGTAGAACTATACACAACTTATTGATTGACATTAGTAGTTGTCAATAGTTGGTTTGTAAGGATTAAATTTGTTTTTACGAGTTGATCACAGATTGATATCAGTTAGAGAACCATCGAAAACCAGCAGGGAAATCATCGGCAGTACGCACCCACTGCCAGGGTTCGAACCCAGGACCTTCCGGTTACAAGGCGAACTCGTGTACCATTCACGAACTACTAGTTGTAGTTGTTTGCTAGCCAGATTGAGGTGATCAAGTGGTTTGAAGTGATTCAGCTCTCTGAGCTGATTCGAACAGAGGAAACCGCTGAGCTCGCTCCCAAATGAGCTAAACGGTCATCTGGTGTTTAAATCACTTCGATCTAGTCAGCAAGCCCTAATAGTTGATTTGAGTGATATACGGCTACTCATGTCAATAAATCAGTTGTATATATTTTTACGCAAAAAACACCTAATTTTTTTGTATTTCATTAAAATATTGATGAGAGTTCAAGAAACCAATTCAAATGCACTAAATGTTTTTAGAAATTGTAAATTCTACTTGAAATTCTTGCATATTTACAAAATAATCGCTTTCTTTTACAGCCAAGACCACGTTTCCTATGGATACCTGTATGGCTGCGTACTCTATTCTTTATCCCTTCTACTTATCATGTAATTTTGCCATTGAAAAACCTCATCTACCTGTACTCATTACAAATGATCATGTATATGTGTTCGGTTGTATTATATTTTCATTCACTAATGGATATCTTGCATCATTGGGTCTAATGTATGCACCAAGGTAAGTAGTCGTCAGTATTATTACCGACATAAAAATATATTTCAGTGCAATTTAATTTCTGGTCATTTTAAAAATGATGCCTTCTTGAAGTACAAGAGATTTCCAGCACTGTAGTTTCTGTTTCTAAACACGCTATCAGAAATCACTTATAGAAAAGTATTGATGTTTATTTCTGAAATTTACAACATGAAGTTTTCAGCGGATGGTTTGTTCAATGCGTATATAAAGTGTATGATCAGAATGACTGAAAGTAAGCAACGCGTTACTAGGCTGTTCAAATACATTGGAATCAATATGTCGAAATTCTAGTTCACTCACAATCCTATATCTTTTTTTTGAGGGGGAGGGGGTGATCTAGCAACATGTCTTATGTCGTCAGACGCTGCTGAATCATTTAAGACACAAGAATATGAGTGAACTAGAATTTCTACACTTTCATCCTAATGTATTTGAATAACCTGACAACATTTTTCCTGTATTATTAATGTCTCCTCTAGTTCTTAGAGGAACATAAGGCTTCAGCTGCTCGTCTCCATTGCGTTCGGTTCTCCGCGAACGTTTTCACTTGGCTCCACGCCTGTCCACATACCCTTTCATCCCCTCCCCATGTGACATCCTCCATGTCACCCTCGCACTGACGACCAACTCACCACTTCCTATTCGGGCTTGACTAGAGAGGGAGAGAAAGCCTGACGTGTGATGTCACTATGGTTTGTTTTCCCAGAGTATGGCTAATCCACCTCCATTTCTTCTTGTATATTTTTTGCACAATTGGTTCTTGGTTGGTTCGCTTCCAGAGATCTCTGTTGCTGATCTTTTCTGACCATTTGATCTTTTTGCTGTGATACATCAGAATTATTCGCGTTAAATTAATTAGTTTAGTTTGAGCTACTCAGGAAGTATAACTTCTAAAACTAATTTTAACTCAACATAAATTCACCGCTATCTAGTATATTATTAAATAACGTGGGTAACATGTTCATTTGGTTCTCAAGTGTTGGTTTTCACTGACCTCAAGTTTCATCACAAACCAACTTCAGTCAGAGAACCATTGAAAACCAAGGAGTACTGCACAAATACTTCTTCCTTGTTTGGCATTTTTCAATAGTACGCACAGATTCCAGCACCTACAGGTTGAAAGGCGGGCCGGTTGTCCATTCAGCCACTGGGATGGAATCCGATGCGCTTAGCTTCCAGAGGTTTTACAACTGAAGTTAATTCGTGACCAAACTTGAAATCCATCTGATCCTCACTAGTGACTGACTGAAGTGTGAAGATGCCTGAAGTTTTAACCAGAAGTCGTGACTATCCGGGTTACATAGCAAGTGGGATGTGAGGAAAACAAAATATCACCATGTGACATTTGTCATATACCGCAAATCTGCACAAGTTAGAATTAATGGGGGGTCATGGGTGGGTGCCATTGAAGAGACCCAAACAAGGATGAAACAACTATCCAATACCCTCTGGTTTTTACTGGTTCTCTAGATGCTATCAGCTCTTCATCTGATTTTGTCTAATTCACATTTCAAACATTTTTTCTGAAGGGAGTAGAAAGTATTAAGTTGGATAGTATATGTCTCAAGCAGGTATCATTGGAAGAATGAAACATACCAAATTCTGTATTTCACGTCCTCATCGCTTTAAGTTACTCTTTTAAGAAATACCTACTATTAATATAACAATCACGAGTGTACGTCAAACATTATAGTGCTTTTCTTCTTTTCTTTTTTTTTAATTCGTTTACATTCCCAGTGGATCATAAGGCTTCAAGCTACAGGATTGAAGTTTCAGTAGCAGTAGGGTTTGCTAGCCTCATGTCCAACCTTCCCTCTTTGCATAGCTAGGTAAAGGAGTGTATCGGCGGGTATCGAACCCCGGGTCACCTGCATGGCTGGCAAGCATTCAAGGTTACAGTGCTAGTAATGCCATAAACACAGCAAAAGTAACTGACAGTTTATGATATATGTCACTAACCTAATGTAACAGTGGATTTTGAGTACTATAGTAGAATAAAATAATTCCATATGAGATTAGTTTATTTGACGCAAAACACACAGTGATACAGTATTATCTCGTGATTTGCCATCTGGGTTCTACTCAAGGGCCTGGCGTTCGACGGTCTCCTTAGAGTGTGTCCAATCCATCTCTATTCTCTTTGCCATATATGTTGACCTGTAGGCTCTTGGTTCGTTCGTTCCCAGGTTTTTTTATTGCTAATCCTTTCTGGCCAGCCATCTGGTCTTCAGCATAGAGCAAAAGCATTTGTTGATAAAAGTCTGCAACCTGTTGGAAACGCTTTTCGTAAGACGTTTGCCAAGTTTCTGACCCACACAGAAGTGATCGCCTTAACTCTATATGGTTGAAAACTTGAATTTTGTTGTTTTTGCTGAATTCGGAAGATTTCTGAACTGATTTCAGAGTGATGAAGGCTTGTCTTGCTTTTCCGGTTCTCCCCTCCTTTGACATCTTCATCTGTGTCTCCTAGAGGTGAAACGATACTGCCTAGATAAGTTGGGGGGGAAGTGACCTCTTTCAAATTTCTTCTGTTGATTTCTCCTGTCCATAGTGGTTGACGGTAGGTGTCATTTTTGTTGGTTGGTTGGTTGGTTGGTTATTTTCATCATCTCCGTCCTCTCTACGTGCGCTTGAATTCCTGTCTTTGCTGCTTCTTTTGCCAGTTTGTTGGTTTTAGCTAGTAGGTCTTCGATTTTGTGTGACATTAAAAACATAAATCATCTGCGAAATCCAGATCTTCAAGAGTTTCTTATCGGTCCAGTTTATTCGTGTCTTGCTGTTACCCATGTACAGTGTTCCGCATAATCCAGTCCACCACAATCAGGTATATCATCGGTGATAGTAGACAGTCTTTCTTGTTTTACTCCTGTTTTCACTCTAAAGGCTTCACTGAGGATCACGTGACATGTGGCATTGTCATTTATATATATATGCATATATATACCCCGGTTAGGTGTTACGTCATTTCGATTCCACTTGTTCGTTGTTGATTCAATGAACAAAGATTCGGTTGATTACTACTAAACGCGTTCAATCGGAATGACGCAACATATATACCGGATATGTGAAATAATATAAACAAAATAAAATAAAACCAAATGAGCATCATGGGGCAAAGTTAAATTTTCGACACCACTAACAACCAATCAGCAAACGACTTTGAACGGACCAATCACATTAAAGAGACATATATGATGAATGAAAATGCATATTTATAGAAAAAAAGCATAAAATAGAGAATAAAAAAGTTACATGGGATATCTTTCTCGAACATGTGAGAGAAATATCTCCCAGTTTAGCATGGGACCGTCAATGGAGACGTTACACCATATCATGTACATATATTCACCCAAAAGACCATAAATGAGATCCATTTATAGCCTTTATCCTATTTTTCAACCTGCCCCCAAATCCTTCAATAGAATTTGTATGTGTCCTCGTAACGGGATCCACAAAATCACTTGAATGGTTGACTCTGTGATGAATACATCCCAGAGATGACAGTGAATTGTAGCCTTTCCACTCGTCGGTGTGTATAATTGACCCCCGCTGGTAATAATAGGTATAAGAGTAGTTGCTTTTCTATCTGCTATCCTTAGGGAGAGAAGCGACCTAGCGAAAAAAGTTCCTACGAAATATTAAAATTATCAGCTTACTCTCTCTAGCGTTAGTAGGCTTCAAACATATAGCACAACGATGAACAAACCCATCAGTTGATTTGGTATAGCTTTTTAAAGTCATAATACCACCACACAAACAAATTCGCTCTTTCCGGCGCAACTCAAATCCAGGAAATACTGGAAAACGCTAACCTCCTCGAATTGCAACAATAGCTTTGTAAGGTCACGCATTAGAAATGAATCAAGCGCTATACAACATTGAACTGCGTTCGTGAACCTCATTGGATAATTCGACATCGTTTGTGAATCCCATTGGATAATTCGCTGATTGGTAGTTAGTGGTGTCGAAAGTTTAACTTCGCCGCATCATGGATTCTACTGCTAGTCACCATCCATCGAATAACATGACGTCAATATCCAGGCCCAGGTGAAAAGTCCCTACTGAAAGCTGAAATGACAACAGAGGCCCGACTACTTCGCTCCAATCTAATCAATAAACAGAAATACAAAATTAGAAAGCGTGAGATGCTTATTGCCGAAATTAATTTCTTAATTCTATTATATGTGTGTAGATTAGCGGACATTTTGGCAACTACTTGTTATTTCCCATGGGTTTCCACAGGAATAAGAATAATGACAACATATTAATTTTAGAAATTATCAGTCACATGTAAATAGTTACCGTAAGATTTAATTAGAAGAGAATTCTCAAGACTTAGTTTGTAGGGATTGGATTTTCTGAAGTTTGGCCACCGATTGATATCATTTAGGGAACCATTGTAAACCAGGCAGTGAGTAGTGGGCAGCTGTTTCGCCCTAATTTGAGACTCATCATCGGCACGCATCCAGCGTGACTCAATCCCAGGAGCTTCTGGTTACAAGGAAAGCTCCTAATTCCCAGGTCACTCACTGGGACCTGACTCAGTGACCAGCCTATGAATTCTAACTTCTACCAATTTTGTGAATTTAGGATGACCACCAACCAACCACTGTGATCGGCGAGTATCTGTCTTCACTGCAGCACTCCTTTGTTTACAATGGTTCTCTAACAGATATCAATCCATAGTCAAAATCAGGACAGAAGCAACAAAGTTTATGGAATAAAAATAAATTTCTCTTATGAAATGCATAGATCTAAATAAACTCGAAAATGAATATTAGTCAGTATTGTGAACCAGTACAACAATGCGTTAATATCTATCTATACAGAGAATTGATTTCAGAGTAGATTTCCTCTGTTCCTGGTGAAATTGAACTTGAAATCGCTGTCGAATCACCACCTCAACACAATAAAAGCTCAACACTTTGAAAACAGAAATTAATGATTTTAGAATTTTAGTTGTTAGATTTCCCAAGAATCAA